GGGGCGGGGAGGTGGCGAAGGGAAAGGAAGAGACGGAGGGCCACGCTTCAGAGAGAGAACCTTGCAGTCAAAGCAGAAGAGCTACAAACCACTCAATCGGACATTGCCAAGGTCGGTTCGTAGCCTGACGTTTCAGCGTTGGGTAAGTGTATGCATTTTCAAGGCGTTGGAATATCTTGAATATGTCAAAACCCTGTTAGAAATTAGGAATTTTTGATTTCACGTGCGAGTTTGAACCATTTGAAGAAATGGTTCAAACCATTTTGAACCATTTGAAAAAATCTTGTTAATGTATTTTTTAATTGTCAAGATCTCACTCAAAATTAGGCGACAATTACATTTTCAAAAAATTCAGCATTCTATTATATAAATACGTTATTTCGAAGTGCATATTTCATTAAGAATTTGTTAAAAAATATTGTAGATTGAGGACAGCGGAAAATTTTTAAACCTTTGCAATTTTCGAACATTTAATTCTAAGTTTTGTTGAAAAATAAAATATTTCATAAATGTACTTTGTCATGCAGGATGAAAGACTAAAGAAAAAAAGCAACAATTTAACAGAAAACTTTCAATAATTTCGTTGGGGTTTAATGTTAAGTATCATCAACTAGCGGTGCTACGGAAACACATACTTTCTCGATATATTTTTAATTATAATACTATACTAGTGAGTCCGCAAAGTGTTCGACAGGGCTAGGACGCGAACCTAGGTATCTACATTCCTCAAATGGTGTAGTTACTAATTCATTCACAAGACCGTCTCTGAAGCTATAGTCATAGTACTAGTAAAATTGTTCACTTTTACATTGCGGAAAATTAAAAAAATAACATAAATTACTCAAATGTCGAAAATATTGTTCGTGAAATGTATTAAGAATAATGCTGAGAAATATTTTACTCCAAGAAAGAAATGTATAGGTGAAACATTAAAAGTGTTGGATAGCTTCGAAAACATTTGAACGTTTTCACTATATAACTCAACATTAAGTGACATTTTATATAATATTTTTAACATAATATTCTGAAAATTATTTAAATTATCTAAATTTCCATTAAAAATAACGTAGCTAGTTGGGGTGGGGAAGTCTTGTCGTGGCGTGGGGAAATATTGTCAACTTTTGCAATTTTTGAACATGCAGAGGTTTTAACGAATATGGGAAGTGCGCCACTTTTATAGGCGTATACTGCTTAATTTTAGCAAAAAATAGATTAAAGGTTTAAAAATGGACCAATGTTTTACAAAATTTGCAAAATGGCGTAGGAACTGCATGCTAAATCTCTCTCCAAATGAATATATACGTTTCCAAATCGAAAAACTGCAACATCTGCCAGATCGATCGCAGCATATCAGATTTGGTGAAAATCCTGTGTGCAGTTTGAGCGTTAAAACTGTGCAGAGACAGGTATTTTCTCGAAAACCATTTCTAAGATATCAAAACCCCAAAACATATTCTTACTACACTACGTATTAGAGAAAGTAATTTACTTTAGACAACAGTGAGAAAAAAATATTTTCATTATCTGGGATCCAAAATACGAGTTTCTATGTAAAATTGCAAAACAATATATAACTACACTTTTTGCTGCAGCATTATATTCCGTTCTACATATTATGTAGTAGTATAGGAGATTGTAACAATTAAAAGATCCATTTGAAATTTTAGTGGTTCGGACACCATCCAGATCGATTAAGGAACACCCTTTCTCATAACTGGAAACTCCGTATGGTTTAAAAACTAATGTTGCTCATCGGTAGTAGACGTTTTAGCGGTGGGAGAGACGTTTTCGAAAGAAATTCTTTTGGGGAATCAAATATACCAAAATGTGCATTCGGACTATCCTGTATATAAAAGAATGTAATTTATTTCGTAAAAAAAAATTTTTTGGTATCAGTGATATACAAAACGTGTTTTTCTGTCGAAAAATTGCCTTTTGGTATTTGTACATACGACGTTCTTCTGGTTAGATCGATCGCGGAATATCTGTTTTGAGGAAAACGCAATGTACGATTTAGGCTTTTCTATTACTCACAGATAGACGTTTTGAGAAAGAATAACTTTTTCGATATCAGAGATACCCAAAACATTTGCGTCAAAATCTCACCATAGATTTTCTTGCTGAATTACACACACATGCATAAAAAGGATACTGATAAAATGTATAAATGTTCTTTGAACGCATTGGTTAATAGTTTAAATTTTTAGATCAATTTTACTTTTACGCAATTAAAATGATATGGAAATATAAGAAATTAAAATGGTAATGTTCCTTTGCTATCATGGAGTTTATTTATAGTCTTTTTTACTTTCTTCAACTTACTTCGTAAAAAGAGAATATATGGTAATCAGAATTTTCGGCAGAAAAACTGTTTTTACAAGGCCCTGATGACGAAAAAGAAGATAAATCTTGTTCGTATTAGTAGTAAATAAGTCCTCTAGCGCGTTATGTAGATACAATTCACGTTTTGTGGTTCCTCGATACGCTTTTTTTTTTTTTTTTTGCGCGCAAAACCTGTCTGTTTGCCTGCCTGTCTTTCGTCCGTTTCGGAAATCTGAGCTGTATTCGCGTAATTTTGTGTGAAATATAGTCAATTTTCAATTTCTTCAACTTTTTTCTCAAAGACAGCTCTAAATTTTTTCTTTAAATTTTCTTCTCGTATGTATCGAAAGACGATGAAGAATATGGTGCTAGAACCATTTCCAGGGAACTATCCGTATTTCCGAAAACTGTCTGTTTACACAGTAGAAAGAAAGTTATGTAGCACTGTTGGAAAAATAACCGGCATATTTTCGGCAGAAAAAAACGTTTATTACAGGGTCCCGGTAACGAAAACGTGGATAAATACAGATTATAAATTCAGAAATAAAAACTCCTCTAACACGTGATGTAGCCAGAAACCATGTATTGTAGGTCCTTGACACTGAAAAATTGAATGACGGCAAAACATCTGTTGCCCCGTCTATCCGTCTGTGAACAACGCTAGCGGCTAAACCGTTCAGCCGATTTTCTCCAAAATTGATACTCCCTCATCGATCTGGTTGATGTCGCCCATTGAATTTGAAACCAATATTTTAATTTTGTGGGGTTTTTTACATGAAGCCCCAGGGACATTTTCTAAATTTTCAAAAATTGCTCCAATGTTTTTATTTCCCCGTATATATACGTATATACGGAGTAATATACCTAACAGTTATGTAATGCTGCGGAAAATTGATTTCGAGGATTTTTCCTTCAAATGAAATTTGTTGTCCATAGTGTTTTTTTATTGTCATGTACATTTTTTAATATTTTAGTAGTTTTCGCGCAATATTGCATGCAATATGTGCAATTTTAAAAATAAAAACAGACTTTTTGTAAAAATGGCTTCAATTTTTTTCTTTAAGCTTTTGGTAGTAAGAGTGCTGAATGTACTCTATGAGATGACATAAATATCAGTTTGCTTTATCCTTTTGTTTTTTGGAAATGACAAAACTGTAATTTTTTACTTGTCTCTCACGTCGTTAATATTTACATTAGCAGCGTTCACGTTCTATTTATGAGTACACGTGTTTTAAATAAGGTCACATAAAGTTTCTCAAAAACTCAACCGTTTTCTATGAAAACTAGTTCAAAATCTCGCATTTTCAGAAATACTCAAATGCCATTTTCTAAAAAAGTCTCCAAATTTTTCTTCAAACTTTCCAAACGGATAGTGCAAATTGCACTCTTTATTATTACGTAATTTTCATTTTGAGTATTTTTTCGTTTTTTCAAAAAATTCATAAATCCATTTTTTGAAAAATTTCTCACGCTGTTAATATGCACATTTCCAGCATTTTGTAAACTCTGTTGTGTTTGTGAGTTAAAGTTCTTCAAATTACTTTAAATGAAGCTTTTCGAAAACTCAAAAATTTTTTGTGAAAAAGAGCTTCAAATTTCGAATTTACAGTAGCGCTTCAACGCCATTTTTTTTTAAAAAAAAGGCTCCAAAGCTTTCAAAAATTTAGGATGAGATTTATTGTGTAATGTAATGTTGTTAATATAATATTTCCGTTCTACTATTAGGAAACCGAAAAATTAAGAATTGAAAAAAAAATGTATTTTGGGCGGCGATAGATGGCAGCTGGCAAGAGTATGCGGCAAGTCCGAATAGCTAGCCGAGACCAAAGGAAGTAGACAACTAATACGGGAAATACGGGTCTGTGCCATTCTGATGCACTTCTAGTTGATATTTTATTTGTGGATAGTGTGAAGGACGTTTATGAGAATGGTATAGGTCTCATTTTCGTTAAAATCCCTAATTTTTCGATTATTGCAAAAATTCAAATTTTTTCGGCATCTTCCTACAACTAAACTATTAAAGATGAATTTTTCTCTTAATGAAATCTGTTCCTTAAATATATATTTTGAGATAAGGTCATGTATATTTTTTCGAAAATTTGAATACTTTTCGCATAATATTCCGTGAAAATTCGAAGGAGAATGATCGTGCTGTTTTAGCACCACTAGTTTTTCACGGATAGAACAAGCGACGTTTAAAACATCTCATATTCGTTGATCTTTCGGAACTTGTTTGTTGAAAATATTTTGTTGACACAATTAGATTTTTAAAAGCAGGTTCCATTTGGTAGGTCAGAGCACCTTGGTCTAGTGGTGAGGTGCATGGCGTGTTAACTCGGAGGATCCGAGTACGAGTTTCGGCGCGGAAAAAAAATTGATGGTAGAAAACTCTTGCAGGTTCATGTAGTAGTTTACTATTTCAGAGCATTTACAAATAATGCCGAAATGATGTGCCGTTGTAGCTCCACTTATTTTATATAAAAATGGAGGGAACAGATATCGTATTTTTCCTAACTATGATTCCTTTTCTTTCGTGTAAGTATTTGTACCTTACTCGTGGTAAGTTTTGTGTATTTTTTTATTGAAGTCATACAGAAAATTCAATAACGATGAAAGTAATAGTATATTTTTTTAATACATTTTATTGTACGTGATACAATCATATTGCTTAGACATACTTCGAAACGAATATAATAAACTTACAAAATTATTTTTACAAAACTACTTCTCCGATTAGGAACCAGGCTATTTAACCTGTTTCTGATGCAAGAAGGTTGATCCAACTCTTGAGCGGGCTTCTAATGACTCTTCATCCATTTGGGTTGTACTGAAGGATTTGATTTGGGACTCGTTCTTCGGGCATCCTCGTGTTTTAGCCAGGCATTTCTGTAAGAATTGGTTTTATCAAAAATTTGAGTTCTTCTATGGTTTTTTATTTCTGATTTTACTTTCCACTGTACAACACGTAACATAACTCAAAAATTTCAATTTCTATGTGTCAATTGTGATGAATATGTTCTTTGTAGGTTTCGAGTTTCCGAACTGTAGAGGAGATTGGGGACTAATATTAGTAAATTTTCCACAGAATTTTTTTCAGTCTTTGTTTAAAAAAATATAATTGTTGGGTAAGCATCCTGAAATGCTTCTTTCTATTTCAGCATCATTGTGATATTATAATCCCGAACCAAAATATTGAAAATTATACTTGTAGTAAGATTTCATAACTAATAACTATTTTTGATCTACTAGTATTTCTTCGAAAATAGTCATATTTTTTGTTTATTGACATTTTCATGTTACGTAGGCTTGATATCTGATTTAGTTTGTTTGTCTCTCTGCAGACCGCATTCACTCTTCTGAATGTCCACTCGTTCGACTGCACTAGTGGGACGTTCAAGTACTTCTGGTGACAAATACAAGTTCCTGGATTTACTTCCAACTGCTCTGCTCTAATTACGTAAATAAAAATATCAAAAGAACTCAGTTAGAAACAATGTTTTCTGACGTTTTCGGTTGGTTACAATTTCTTCTAAAATATGATGTTCTTAAAAATATTACTACTTTTACATATCGAGAGAAACATGTTGCACTTTACAAGATGCTTTGGGAAACATCTTATATTTATTATCGTGTACCACAGCAAAGACCGTTTAACACGATTAAAAGCTTATTCGTAATACACGAAGGCCAAATATGTTTTCAGGTTGATCTCACGATTTTTATTATTTATCGTCATACGAAACGTCGATATAAGATCGACCTTGTCTAAATTCCACTAGCTCTTCAGTCTGTCATAAACAACTCGTAGACTATCATGAAGGACGTTACTGTATATTTTATAAACGGCACTCAGCAGGCTCATTCCTCTATAATTTGATACGTTGCTCGTATTTCCTTACTTAATGTTCAATATTACGTCACACACGTTCCTTTCTTCTCATACATTATAAAACAAAAATTAATTGCAGCGGTTCTGAACTATGTACACGCAGACATTGTAGGAATATACGTCATGATTTTATGATGGATATGATGATCACTTCTTACTACAATCTGTCTAATTAGTACACAATCTGACTTAGAATGCAACTCGGAATAAAACATAGTATTCAAAATTCTTATAAATAGAGTCACATAACGCCCTTGAACAAATTTTCGTATATATAGTTTATGCCTCAGTTGTGTCGAAGCTACATTGTATTCATTTGCAGTGTGGTAGACCATTAATTAATCTTTGAACTTAATGAGTTTCAGTTTGCAAATCCCCAAACGACCCATGAACCGATGAATATTCCAACTTTAATTATAGAACTTAATGAAGTTACACTACTTCCAGCTGACCAACAACTTTGGTTACGATCTAAGTGAATTTCTTATGAAACGGATCTGCATGCAATGTGTAAATGATTTTAAATATTAATAACTAAATTTCATTTATCTGAATCTATAATAAAACATATCAGAGGACACCATTCAGTTTTATACAAGGAATGTAGAAAAAATACAGTCCACATATAATTTTCCGTTTTAATGTAGTACGGACTTACAATTGAGCCATAAACGATTTAATGTTATTTACACACAATACTGTTGGTCGATTGTAAACGTATATTACTTTTTAATCTTTTTCGCCAATTTATAAATTGTAGAAGTTTTATTTGTTAATGCATGATATTTGTTTGAATAATTTTTCTAGTTGACAATTCAGAAAGTGCAAAATTGCAAAATGCGTTCACAAAAATCTCAATTCCTATACTTATGGATTACAACGGAGGCGCCAACAATCAGAATCGCCAATTTCTCTATACGTATATTTCTTACTTCCTCTTTCTTGATATTTCTAATTTATTGGTAAAACTATTGCTTTGTTACTCTATAGGAGAATTTGCTGCAAATAATAAAATGCTGACGTTTTCCTGGATGAGAAGTAGGTGACAACACGATTATCCTGAAGAAGAACGTTTCGTGCCCTGTGCTTCATCAGGAAATACCTGGCAATCTATAGTTCCTTTTACGTAGTATTTGCTGTAAATTATAGTAAGCAAAAACAAACCTTACAGTATTGGCTTAGTTACAGGACTTTCACGTTCGATATTTTGGCGATGAGATACGCGTAAGAGACTACACGGAAGAGAAATCCATTTAATCGTTACGGGAAACCATAGTGTGGTACACAAAATGCTTTGCGACGCACGAGTGTTTCCTCTGCAGTGCCTATCGATTAGTTGAAGCTTGCTCGTGCCTCCCGTTATCATGCCATGGTTTTAGACTGGAAAGCACGTGTGGACAATATAAGGAAAAGTTTTCGTTTACGGCAATATTACGCGTTGCGTTTTTACCATGTTATGAACAGTAGCTAAAACGTACTCGTGCTTTACTACCGTAGCTCATGCAATAATTACAAATAAGGATAAAAAACTGCATATTACAGCAAAGAAGTATCACTACTTGTTTTCTACAGTACCAACTGTTGCACCTGCGGTGCGTATCAAATTTAGATATAGTTACGAGTTAATTTAAAACTATAGGCCGGATATCCTAATTCAAAAACCAATTAAAACTAATAAAAAACATAATTGTATATATTAAATTTGAAGCTTTCTAAAATTGCTTTGAAAAAAAGAGTAAAATTGTCGTATTCTTAATCACAGATTTTGAGCTGGAAATAATACTGAACTTCAGTTTTGTCAAGTAGTATTTCGTCACGACGCTGTCTTATTTAAATTCAACTAAACATATGCAATAAGTTTAATGAGGATGGGAAGTAGAGCGTACCGGAGAATACATTGCTGTGAGCATTTTTGCAGTTCATTAAATTTCCTCTAAATTTCATGCGTACAAGTCATAATATATTTTGAATATTTTAGTAATACCATTGAAAATTAAATAAAGACGTAATCGAGTTTTAAAAAGACAACTCCAATGGTATAATAATATCAACATTTCATCTAAGGTCCAATTGTTTTTTATTTAGCAAGGTGTCTCTCCTCAATCGTTAAGCTTGACTTCGAGGAAAAAGGAAAATTGAATATTAAAGGATTCCTAGGATTTACGAGGCAGGCGAAGCGCAGAGAACTCACCGATTCGATGCAGTGGGTACTCACCCAGTAGTCAGACGTCCGTCTCGATGGACATGGCATTGATGTTGTGGTTGGAGCGCGGGTTGCAGTTATGCTGTTTCTTGGTGGCTGGTGCTAGCAGCAGCCCCTCCTCCAGTTCCATGACGTCCGACGAGCTCTCGGACAGCGAGCTCTTCTTCATGTGCTGGCCTGTGAGAGCAGGACAAACGTTTAGTCACTTTGCACTCGCTTCCCTCAATCTTACGTTCTAAAGTTGATACTGGCTTGTCCTGACTACCTGGCGATATACACTGAGTATGCTACTAATATAGAACTAAAATAAAAAACATGATTTCGATACAAGGGTTATCCTTTCGTAATGCAATTTGAGGGAAAGTTAAATTGTTGATTCTGAAAAATTAAAAACAATATTTTTGATATATTTCTAAATTCTAATTTTGTAATTACATTACTTTAATTAATTACACAAATATATGTAATAACTAAATATTGCATTATAACACATAACAAAAAACAAATATATTTACAGTTTGGATGAGTTGATTCTAGTTCTTTCACTTTTAAAAGAGAGTATTACAACTACATTTAATTAGTGGCTCTGAATGTTGTTCGGTAATTAAATATCATGAATGTAGTTCTTGGCTAGCTGAACATGTAATGTGACGACTGAATGAATATACTATTTAAAACTTAATAAGCACAGATGTGTAGATATGAGAGATTGCGTATTTATATCATTCGTGTTGATACGTGGTTCGAAAATATCAGTGTGTAAATTGGGTTCCAACAAACCTATTTTCACAACTCTTCAATGATCTTTACGTGGTATTTGTGTTGAGAATTCTTTCTCACTAAAATCACCAATTTGCCTATACGTAAGAATGTATTCTGTTCGTGAAAAACATGTTTTTACCTATTCGTGTGATCTGCCGCAATGATATTTTGTATTCTTTACTTACTCTGAAAGAACAAAGAAGCTAGATTTCCTCACGTTTCGGGATGATATGTGTAAATGCAATGTTTGCATGCCACCGATTATGCAATGGTGCTTACAGTCGACGGAAAAGTGTTTTTCGTACTGCACTTTTATCAGAAGTATCAAATGCCTTGAAATTTATCGTGATTCTCAATATTCGATGATAAAAAAATCAATGAATCGGGTAACTGATCCTTTTATTAATAATGTATTTTTCGCATTAATTTCAATGAAATTTATTACAAGTCTTCTGAAATTTTCTTAGAGAAACAGTAATGGAAGGCAATAGTGAAGTCTATATTAGGGGATCCGATTCAGGTTGGCACCGATTGGTAGATTGTTTTTTATGCAACTTCATTTTAGTTTTGAAAAGTTTGAATGTAGCAATAGAAACTACATCTCACTTGTGCATACCATCCCCTCACTTGTGGGCTGGTTGGCACAAGCTCTGAGGTAGATTAGCAATTGAATGAAGTAGATTATCACAATACTTTTGCTACAGTGTAGAGTAATAAATCGATATCAATATTAATCATTTTTCAATGTTGTATTTGTGCACATAAATGTGAACAAGTTTATTATTATTCTTTGTTGCTGAGGAACAGTCTCACCTTAGCAATTAGAGTAATCTCGGTAATTTCAAACTTAAGTTTTATCAGGATTTTACTACTACTCGAAATCGTGCTAGTACACGAAAGACGGTATCCGCCTCATATGTGCTGCCCGCTCCTGTCGTCTAAGAGTGGCGGAAGATCCTACAAAGAGCCAGCCACAACATGCGTCCATATCATAACATCTTCCTAGAAATACCATGAAAAGATTGGTATCTTTTTAAAAAGACGTGTTTGTGCTTTTGAAAATATGAGAGAAATGACACGAAATGTTATTTTTCCAAAATAGTAGACAGTAGGATAACGACACCGGCAGTGACCACTGTGTCAAAACTGGCAACTTCAAGTACCACATTTAAGTACCATAAAAATAAGAATTGAAGGCTTCCCACGGACTTTAAGCTCGCAGAACGTGTAGCTTATGCTCTTTAGTAGTGAGGAGTAGAACAGTAATAATTTATTGCCCCAATTATTTTATACGTACTGAATAAGCTGAAAACATCTTGTTAACATTGCAATAATCTAACATTAATTTTTGACTTTTTTGGTCTCAAAGACTTACAAAGGGAAAAAATATTGATTGACCAGTGCTGAAATGCAATCAGAATTTGAAAAAAAAATGTATCTTTCACCAACCAGATATCTCCCAACAACAGAGAACCGCCCCAGCCGGAACCAGCTCTAAGCTCCCGACCGGTCTCCCGGCACTTGTGGTAGTGTAGTGCATTTAAGTGGGCGTGTAAGTAAGGGGTGAGTGTAAGACAAGGAAGAGGAAGGAATGCGCGCGCGGCCCATGGCCCGTTTGTTCGGGTACTGCTCCGGAATTCGCCTGGTATTGATCGAAGAAACCACGGAAAGCTACCGATCAGAACTGCCGACCGCTAGAATTCTCCTCCTGGGAGCGACTGAATTCGACCTAGCTATGTAGCAAGTATCGAAAATCCTGCCCCCGACGGGACTCCAACCTAGGACCTCCCGGATAAAGACACTGTAGTGACATCTGTTGATGCCCTGGGCCACCTAATCCGTTTTATAAGTCCGTGAATCAGTAAATATTTTATCACTAATTTTGAATACAGCTGAATATAGCTATTTATTCTATCTTTTATTTTCTCCTTCTCTTTCTTTCTTCTCCATTTTCTCTTACTTCCTCCGATTTATTAAATCGTCATTTTCCCTTTCTTCATTTTTCTTTCCAAATCTCTACAATCTCACCACGCGTTTTATTGATAGCAAGCCATGCAGAATTTCAAAACGTATTCGATATCCCGACAGATTCGCGAGTGTCCAATTTTTGAAACTTATAATCATCTTATTGTCAATACCAATGATTTTCCGGAAGAATGTATCTTCCGTAAATGCTTGAGAACCAAACGGGGAACAAGTGGTTAAATTTGAAGGGCAAGGATAAAAGTAACTAGACTACAACATTTTTATCGATTTAAGTTATTAATTGACCGATAAGCTAATAATCAATTTCAATACAATAAGGCAGAAATATTGCAATTTGAAAAGTACGTTAACTGCGGTGATCTGTTTTCTTCGTTGCTTCGCTCCATGTTTGCTAAGATTTTTCATTTTGATTTACTGTTACATATTGATGTTAGTCTTCTGCCTATTTCATATCTTATATATAATTAAGTAGGGGAGACCGGAGATGGTTGGTACAAGGGGCTGTTTGCCTCTCAGATTCATACATCGGACATGTAGCAACCATAAGTCCTAGCTTTTTGTGTCACATGTCCTTCTCGATCCAACGAATTTCTCTGAGAAGTCTCAGTATGATCAGTGTAAGATCAAGATTAAGATCAGTACAACCGTGATCTCAAATGTGCTTTTCAGTTTGGTGAGTAATATTGTCGTTATTCATTGATTTTCTTCTGTAATAAAGGAAAGGGAATTATTTTTCTTTTCTCACATTTGAATTCGTTCATTTTTAAGTATTGAGTGCTTTTGTCATCTCTACGACCATCTCTAACTAAAAAAATCTCGTTCGGCAATGGTTGGTACTTTCAATTTGGGTTGGTTGGTTTAGTGTCAATCAACCTATAGTATATCTGTCTGCCAAACATCTCCAAAAATAAAACTATTTTTCTGATAATTTGATTCACACTGAGGGTAAAAGCAAAATTAGTGGCTACAGATTAACAAAATTTTCTTTGTTTTCTCACATTTCTTGGGATACAGTACTAAATTCGTTATGTTAAACTCAATGGGCAATTTAACATACTTCGTTCGGATTAGATCCCTTGCGTATTAATGACCAATTTTTACTTTGTTCAATTTTTATGCATTTATTTCCAAAGTCTGATTTTGTTCCAATACTAGCCTCTTATTAATAGCAAAGTTACATAGTGGTCTGGCATTCGCCACATAAATGGCCGATCAATATTCTAAGCTTGTTTGAGACCAAACATTCCTCCCAAAAAATTCCAAGAATATGTCCCCTTGTATTGAATTACAATGCCTATATTAAAAAGACGTTTTAAGCTTAATTCTGAAATATAAAAGGAGGTAAATAAATACATTATCGTCCTTCTAACCACTAGAAAGGAAATGCTCCATGTTTTGTGTGTTTGAAGTTAGTGGGAAGCATTCAATTATGGTTTTTGAAATTTTGCGCTTGAAGTGGCCAAAAAGACAAGCATTTTTATTCATTGGAAGTACAAAATCTGCATAAATAAAAAAAAACTTATTATGAAATACTTAATTTTGAAACAACCAAGGCTGCTGTAATTGCCAATATAAGGCTGCTCTGGAAGACAAAACGGTGATAAACTTGTTTGCATTTACCCCTTCTATATCACATTCCTGGACTAATGTTTGTGTAATTTCTATTTCATTAATTGGCAATGTATACTATGTTTATGTACCAGCCACAGTCACGTTATATATTATTTTTTTCATACACTGATTATGCTGACCAAATAAAGTAACCTAAAGTAACCGGCTATTACCGAACAACATGCCATGTTTACATGCTATCTTATCCATTCATTCTTTGGAGCCATAGACATTTGCGTCTACATCGAGTTAAAATATTACTTCATTCAAAGCATTTTTCTATAAAGAAATGAAGTTAAAATGAGGGGGAAGACGACAAAGAGATATACAGAATGGTGTACCTTATATCACACTATTTTTTAAATGAATAACACATTTACTTTGAACAAGATTGATTTATGTGTAATTCTAAAAGAATGAATAAGTGTCTTTAACGTAGAATATGTTTCATGTGCCTACATTTACATTCATGTGTTCTTAATGTCGTATTCCTTGCATTTCATTAGAACAACAAATTTAACTTTCTGCCTTTCACCAAACATCACATTCATATTTGACCGTTATTGACGTAAAATATATCAACATCATAATAAAGTTAATGATATTTATTATATAGGCAAGTCTTCGTTACAAATTAACAAATGTTGGCTGAAATAACGCAATAACGATTACCATAAATTGCACTATTTTCTGGTTATTTTGTTGTATATTTTCCTAGAGGTAATTTCATGGGAAGGCGTAACAGTTATTTGTGTAAAGACAGTGAAATAGTGTAGTGAATATCACATTTGTCCTCAGAATCGACCGTGAATGAAAGT